AGAGAAAGAGAGAGAGAGAGGTAGGGGTCCAAAGACCTGCTCAATATGAAACACGCTGTCATCATCTCATTTGCAGTATTCATCACCATTTGCCATGTCCAACCATGTTCCAACACATGCTCAAATTTATTTGCAGTTGGCTTTTGGTGGAACTCTTTAGGTTTGTGTTCCAACGCATGGCATGGCCAGCATCGGGCATCCCTCCTTTTGCGATTCGCAAGGCGGCAAGCTCCTAAGCTCACTTCCTGAGTGGATTGCCAAAAAAGCCCAGGAAGTCAATTCTCCTCGAAGATCCAACGCGCATTGTCAGCTCTGCCAGTGAGAATGCTGGACACTCGGAACCCGTTTGGCACCAAAGGTATGTGGGCGGGAATCGGTTGAGGAACTTTGGTTTAGTGGCTTTGGCAGCGCTTGGCGATTTGCCCTGCCTTTCAAAGCAGCTGACATCTTTGGAGAGCCTCCGAGTTTTGGCACATGTCCACATGTGCGCCCGCAAAAAAATCACATTTTTTTCCCCGGAGGGAGACCTGTCCCAAGCGAAAACAAGCCCAAGGGACGCGAGAGCGCCTGCAGCTGATCCTCTCGGAAGAGGTTGCCTGCAGCTCCCGTCACGTTGCGAGCCGGCTGGACGCGATGAGGGAATGAGAAATGGAAACTCGGGGATTCCCGAAAGGATATCATAGGATGGATGGCTTCCCTATCGCACCAGCAAGCTGAACTGTGAACCTCGAGAGCCAAGACATACCCCAAGCCCAAGCCCAGTTGGAACGCACCCAAGTAGAAACAGAGAGCCATTTCTTGGGGGTGAACCCAGCAATCACAAGGGGATGTAAAGGGTGTCACTAAACAATTCAACGAATCAAGAAAGCGACGTCACAAAAAAAGTAGGTGCCTGTACTTGGTCTTTTCGTTCTTCTTAGGCGAGATGGTCTTCATTTTTCTGAAGGGAAAAAGGTCAAAGGGCAGTTTCTTTGCCTAAAAAAGAGTCGCCACACCCCACACTCTCCTCATAGTGCGCCTCCCATGCGCATGATCTCCAGGATCTTCGGTACAGGCAGTCGCCCGCTCTTGGATGGGTCGAAGACCTGGAAACTGCTCAGCAGCTCCTGAGCCTGGCGAGAGTTGAGAAGCGTGCCTCGTGACCATGGGGGCACCAAGTTGGCCGATGGCCGGCTGAATGACCGGGCCCCAGGACAAGACATTTCAGCGAATATTCGTAACTTGTCGATGAGATTGAGTGAGGTCATGCAGTGCAACATCGAGCCCGAATCGACAGTTGCTCACTTCTCCTTCATGTAGCCCTGCTATGGCGCTGAACCCTGTGCACCGAACTCCATGAAACGTCAGCGGCCCCCAGTTTCCTGGTCCCGTCCACTCCACTGAGCAGCAGCCTCCTGGCAATGGATAGCGAGAGATGGTGGGCATTCTAAACCATCTTTCATCTGTTAGCTTCGTACGGCCTGTATAGTAAAGCCCATTTGGTTCTCATTGCCCTCATTGCGCAAAACCGGGTTTGTCATGCATACAAGGGGCTTCACACTGGCCTCGCCTCAGAGTTGGCCAAAGAAGTGATCAGGGTTGGGCTGATGACCCGTTCTAGCATGTGTATAATGTAGATAGCTAAATATAGCAATAAATAGAAACACATCAATACATGTGTATATAAATAAATAAATAACTGTATATATATATATATATATATGTATATATACACACATACATATGTCGAACACCTCCACGTTTAGGATCCTTCAAAGGGGTCCCCTGTGTGGTTGGTTTAGCTTCGATTGCCCAAGCCCTGGCCTTTTGATGCGAATGCCACATGAAGCCGAAGCCTGTGTGTTTTTGGGTCAAATGCCCCTTGGTGGCTTGGTGGTTGGAGGGGGTTCCCAAACCAGCAACTAAGGGTGGCATGAGGCGGATTCCCTGAACACCAATTACGTTCAGTGAAGCAAGGGAAACCTGGCGCCTTCTGTCTCCTGACTTTGAAGGGACCCCCCCAAAAACAACAACAACAGTTGACATGGTCAGAGGCCAGGAAACAAATGTGTCAATGGCCCCTCCCCCAAATAGAGAAAACACATGTAAAATGGCAAAGGGTTTCTATTTGACTTCCTTGAAGCCAAGGCCAAACCAACCCCCAAGACGTCCCGACCTGTCTCTGGCCCTTTCCTGCATGGCTTGCCGGAAGGCCGTCAAGTCGAGGCTCGGGGGGTTGCCAAAGCGACCCGCGACCTCTGCCACCTGACCAGAGGTCAATCGGTCAGAATATGAGGCTATGCACATGGGACAAAAATTCGGCGAGCCCCCGGCTCTTTTGGGAAAACTTTCCTAAGCCCCTCTGTCCCTTCCCAAAAAACATGGACCACGGCACATGTTGATCAAACCTCACTTTAGAGGAACTCACCCCTTTAGCGGAATGCACTGAACAACTGGGTGCATCGTGGGACATGTGGCTTTCGCCAGCGATAAAGGAATCCCTTAAGCCTTAAGTGATTCAGTAGGAATGACCCGCATTATCACAGACAGTTTTTTTCCCCTTTATTTTTTCAAGTGAATTTGCTTTCAGGGTTAGACGATCGCTGGGATCATGACTGGTGTCAAGATATTCCCCCAGTTGTAACTTCCTTTTGGCATCCCTTTCTATCAACCTCCCCAAGATGGGTTCCTTCAAAACAACCCTCCCCCCCAAAACAAAAACAACAACAAAGAAACAAAGAAACAAAGAAACAAAGAAAGAAAGAAAGAAAGAAACAAACAACCACCCAACAACGGCAACAAACGGGGGGGGGGGGGGCACTCGTCTTCTCTACAAAAGAGGACGGACGGTGGCGCCCATTTCGCCGGAGTCCGAGTGGGAAGCCGCGGAGTCGCTCTCCCGCCTCCGGCTCCGTGGGGTTCATGCCGGCCTTCCGCATGGCGTCCCCCAGGCGCTTGGCGCTCAGCTGGTTGCCCTCCTTTCAAGCGAGAGGAGAGGGTGGGGATGGGGAGGGTGGGTGGAGATGGTGGGTGGGGGAGAGGGTGGGGGGAAGAGGGTGGGGGGGAGATGGTGGGGTGGGTCGTGGGGGGGAGAGGGTGGGGGGAAGAGGGTGGGGGGGGGGGGCACAGGGGGTGGGATGAGCGGTTTTTCCAGGGTTTGGGGTGGGAAGCAAAACGAAAGAAATGCCATGGTTTTTCAGAGTTGGTTTTTCTTTGCCCATGGCAAACAAATGCGAGAACAGCTTGAACCATGTCCCTTGAAAGCTGGTTGCAAAATGGCAATCCTAACCTGCCGTTGGCGCAGGGACGGCTATTTCTGATGTGTCTGAAAAAATGACACCCCGCATGGTGGTTTGAGATTCGCTCGAACAACGGCCAGCCTCAAAAATACACACCCGGCCGACGCAGACGCAGCATTCCCCGCTGAACCCTTGACTAATTGAAAAACCATCCGCCATGGCCCAAAAAGAGAACTCTCAACAAAAGACGTTGCCACTTTGCCAAAACAAATGAATCCAAACGGTCAGTTGAAGCCTCTTGCTTTGGGACGACGTGTGCTCGCGGTACGTCCCACTCGACGGCAATTCAGTCCTGAAAGAACTGGAAGATTGCATCGATCCATTCCTCGGTTTATGCTGTTACATTTTTTTAAAATATTTATTTATTATAAATTTATTGGGGTGAGGGCGCCCCATTTCAGAGGGGATTTGTACCTTCAGGCAAACACGTGAATGCACCAGATTGACCGTGGCTTGTCGCCGCAGTCCCCCAAACACGACGAACTCCATTGGCCCAGGCGAATCCACTCCACCCCCCCCCCCCCCCCCCCCAAAAAAAAAAAGGCCGCATGTTCTCTGCGGGGCCCAACAGCGTTTTCGCCGAGTTGCGCTGCCATCACCCATGGGTGACCTGAGCTGAGATAGCTGGGGCTACTCTTTGACCCGTTCGTTTTGCTGGAAAATGCAGAACCACCCTTTCAGACCCCATATCTGAAACCTCTGGGGCAAGAACCCTTCTGGTGAAACGGGCGAGTGACGGCCACTAGCTTTTTCTCCGATGCTGCCAGAGTTGATCATTTACTTTCACCTGCAAAAAAAAAGGTGAGATTGACGCACGCAAAGAAGCACATGGGTGCGTTTGTTTGGGAATTCCCTTTGGGTTAGTTTCAAAGGGCAATGATTTTGCCATGTTTACTTCCGTGAAGTAACCTTCTCGTTCTAGGGCTGCGGCTTCTGGATCAAAGCACCGTCTTGAGCTAGGCGTGGGGTGCGGACCAAATCAGTCTATAAAGTTCCTTTCGTGAGAAGGCCGAAGTGTGTCTTTGAAAATCATGTCCTTATAATGTGCTTTTGCTGAAAAAGCTCAAAACACTTGTAGCACATGGTGACTTCACTGCTGCCCAGTTGGATTCATGGCTTTGCGATCATGCTCAAAGCGAGCCAAACTGCCGCGCCGTCTCAGTCGTCATGACAGCCATGTTCGGACTTGCCTCATGAAACTTGTGCAGATTAAAGCGCTTCTTAAAGTTTGTTTACAGAAAAGCGGGTGTGTCTTTCCAGTTCAGACCAAAAGGCAAAACAACAAAAACAAGAACACAAACAAAACATCTTTCCAGCAAGTTCAGAAACTGCCATCCTCAGGAAAAGGGTCCCCCAGCCTCACTTCGAGGGCTTTTGCTTGGAATCCTTCTTGGGAGAACAACGGAGACCATCTTTGTAATCTGTTGGTGCCTTCTACACAACAAGCAATAGGTCTTGTTGCCAGGGGCCCCTTCGAACATCAAGATGGAGTTCCAAAAAATATCAACGAATCCCTCTCCGGGCACCCCTCTATGTTCGAGCAACGCCCATTTTTTCTGCAAGCCAATGATGCTTTCCAGCTTCTGCAAGCACGAGGCTGCGCTGAGATCAAAAACTTTAGGCGTTCACCACCTTGCCATAGAAAATGCCCTTCAGGAGGATCGTCCTCACGGGCGATCAACCGAGGCCGGGCTGTCCGAGGCTTTGCGTGGAGAGAACCCGCCAACCCATAAGGTCTCTTGCAAAAGGGGGCCCTGAAACATACCACGAAAGCCAGAAGAAAGGGTACAAAGGAATATATAGTATAAACATAGTTGACCACATCTGGCTGGGTGTAAAGGGGTATCTAGCTGGGGTACACATCAAGATTGGCGACCTGTTGGTTGGCGCTTTGAGACTGACAGCCCATTTGTAGGTGATTCCTTTCTTGGATCCATCCCCATGACCCTCCGAGGGCTCCCGCGAACTGCAAAACAGTTCTGATCAATCTGGAGAGGCTCGTTAAGTTAAACATTCAAGAGCACATCTCATCGTCATTCGGATGTCTCCAAAATTCGGCCCCCCTTGCGGAAGTCTTGCACCTCTCGTCGAAACCAGCCCGGCGCAGGGCTCCCGGCTTCACAGGGTTCTTACGTCAACACCCCTGAGGGCAAAAACACGCTCGCTGACAACCGCTGAAAGGGGCGCTAAGGGCGGGGAAGGGAAGCACCGCTTTCTATTTAGGCCCTTTTGCACGGCTATGCCATAACGATTTCTCGGCCAAGGTCAAAACCTCCGGTGCCCTGGGATAACAAAGGGGCCTAGCCTTGGTTGCTGCAACCGTCACTCTGCAAAAAGTTGATCACTTTCTGTGGATTTTAATCGGAAAACCCCTTGATTCCAACCAAAAAGTCATCTTCCCGTGCCTTCCTGCGCAAGAAAAGGGAAACCCTGGTTTGCTGGGACGCAGGCAAAAAAAAGAAGTTCAGCTTGGCTCAAGGCCCTCGTTTGGTGGTCAACCATCTTCTGCAAGAATCCACCAAGCAGAAGGGGTGGAAGCGACCGTCTTGGGCAACCAAATCCCCCTCCATTTTGAAACACCGTGAGCTGACCAAAACGAGACACCCTTCATCACCTACCAAGCAGGGGTCGATACACCACCGCAAATGAACATGCAACCCGAAAGACCATTGAGGGAACTCCTTTGGGGCTTTGGGGGGGACCGAGGGTTCTGGTCAGTCAAGGGGCTAAGCTTGGTTTCTTTGGGAAAAACGCGGGGCTTTCTTTGACGCACCCAAATAGGACAACAAGCTGGAAGAAAAGCATTTAAACCAACCATACTCAAACACACATGGTGACAGTTTCGGCAACTTCGATAATTTGCTTCATTCTTTCCTTACTGGCAATACGGTTTGGGGTACCTTGCTTGTTGTTGGTTTTATTTGGACACCAAGAGGGGAACCATATTTTTTTGGGGCCAAATCCTGCAAACAATCAGGCCCATGCTGTGGATGGTTGCGAGATCCAATTTCGCTCCACCGTTCAGAAAATCTGGAACGATTGGATTCCCCCTGTAAATGCCAACAAACACTGGTTTCAACCATGGCTTCTGCGGGTGCGAGAAGCAAATGGATCTCGCGTAACCGTCCCACATTGAGCTGTACGCCCGTCGCCAGCTTAACATGAAAAACAAATCCCTCGCCTGGGAGCTTTGGCGCCCATGTCCGTGTCGGAGGGCTGCTTGGAGACGAAGACCCCGCCAATCTCTCCCAGCTCTTGGTTCACCTCCGGGTCGGCATTTCGGAGTTCCCCTCCACTTTAGGAAAGGGAAACGGCTGGTTCACCTCCCAAAGTCAAGGCTCACATTTTTTCTCCCTGGTCAGGGGTCACTGGATTTCCCGGAAAGAGCCGATCAATTTGCAGGCGGTCTGACCGTTTCATCTGCCACTTTTGGAGGATCTTTTGGAAAAAAGCGGCCCGGAAACCCTGGAAGTTGGGCAGCTTTTGGCTCGGAGGGCTTTTTTTGCCCGCCCATTTGTTGGCGGACTTGGGTTGGTGTCCAAGGGCTTTCTCCTCTCCAGGGCCCCTTTCTCAGAGTTGAGAGAGTTGCCCGACCTCGGCACAAAAGGTGAGGTCTGAAACCAGCTTCGGGAAATATGGGAAGCGCTGGTTCTGAACTTGTCTTGCCCGGGGGACAAGGGCATTCACCCATTCAAACAGTTCAACTCACAAATCCCATGAACTTTTTGCCCTATGACTGCAATCCAAACCCTTTGTGGTGGGCTTGCTGCAGTCTACCCGGAACGGTGGCTTTTGGATCCACAAGAAGCCCACTCAAAGAAAGAAGGCCGTTTTGTGCAGGTTGATTTCAAAGGGGAAGCCACCCAAGCAAAGGAGGCAGGCAAACACGAATGGCCGAACCACATGGCTGCGGCGGGATCTGACAATCAACTCGACCCAATCTATTAGACGCAGTCGGACCAGAAGGTGATCCGATGGCCTGACCTTTGAATCTCGCGTTTCGAGGGCCAGTTATTTTTCCAAAGTTTCTTACTGCAAAAGTGCGACACCCATAGCCAGACAAAGCAGCCCGCAAACCACCAAGAACACACGCCCCCCTTACCCCCAGCCCCCAAATCTTCAGGGTTGAGAACGTCGATTTTCTGTCGAAGGCTTCACGGCTTGCGCTGGAAAAAAAAGGCGAACCAGTCCGGATGGAAATGGAATGCCCAAAGCGGACGTTGCAGTTAGCAAGAGCGAGTTCCTTAGGCCAAGCTCTACCCTTCCTCCCAAGACAAGGCACTGGAGAGGCACTGGAAGATCCGTTTCCTCTTGGAGGGACCCCGGTCAGGTGCCATGTAAGTGGAAGAGAGGGTGTCTTTTCTTCTAGCCCTACCATTTCTACCGATGTTTCTTTCATGTTTGGCATCATGTTTCCCAAACGTTAACCCTGCCTTGTTCACCTCCATCTCGATAGCGCCTTTGCCCAGGTCAAAGACCTGGATCCAGATTCATCCAAGCCGTTTCGGGGGAGGGGGGGTGCATCTGAATTTCCTGTCCCCTTCCCCAGTTCTCAAGTCTGCAATATTTGTCCATGTCATTTGGGCCCCTGCCTTGTTGGTCTCCTTGAAGAGGTCCTCCTGACCGCCCTTGCCATCAGCCTGCATGGCAGGCAGGGCCACCGCCTGATCGTAGCCCAAGTACATGCCGCGGGCCTTAGGGTCAAGGAAACCACCAGTGCGGTACGAGGGCACGCTGAACTCACCACCCCAAGTGAAGCCAGGCTTGAAGGAGCTGCCCTCACCCTTGGCCACCAGCTCCTTGACGGTGAACAGGAAAGGCACGTACTGGCCATCCGGCAGCTTCACAGTCGTGGCTGCGAAGTCCATGCCATCCTGCTCCTTGAAGGTGATGGGGTTGGGATCCAGGCTGCCCTCAACGAAAGCCAGGCTGTAGGTCTGGCGAGTGGTCAGCTTGGTGGTGGCGAACTCCTTGCCCTTGTCAGTCTCGAACTCCACTGCAAAGGACTTGGGCTCGAAGCACACGTTGATGAGCCGGGAGCCGCTCTTCACCGGCACCTCAGATCCGTTGGACTCCACGGTGGGGCAGCGGTTCGCCAAGCCAGAGCCCCTGACCTGATTGTAGGTGAGCTGGCTGAACTGCTCAGCAGTGATGGCCTGGCAAAGCGATAGGCCGAAGGTCACAAAGATGTTGCTCCGTGTCTGTGTTTATTTCCCGACTCAATGTCCAAATGTTGTCTGTGCCTTCTTGGCTGGATGCCTCCCATCTGGTTCACATGGCCAAAGGGGCCAACCAAACATGGCCATGTAGTTGTCTTGGCTCTCGTCCGAATTGCAAAACCATTTATAAACATGGATTCGGTCTTCCGTGCTCCATGGCATCAAGATGCAAACACGCACATTGAGCTAGGGGATCCAAAGCCAAACACTGGGACAACACAGCAACGCAATCATGCGCGTCGCATTTCTCACACTGGAACGACACAGCTGCTAGCAATGCCAGTGTGCCGAGACCCAGCTACGCATCTATCCAAGCTTTCTGGTGCCAAATGCCAGTTATCTAACAGCAAGTCAACCGTACATGTCCTTTGTTTGACGTCTCCGGGCCTCTGAATTGACGCGGAAAAGAGTCATTTTGAGACCTGCTCATTTGTAAGGAACCGCCTTGAGAAGCGGATTTCTGTGTGACAGAAAGCCTGCCCACCTGCGAAGGTTCGAGGGTCTCTTCATGTCGGCTTAAGCATGCCTGAAGGATCCAGTGTGCCTGAAGTGGCTGCCTCTGTCACAACCCCATGGAAGACATTCCCACACCACTTGGGATGGACGAAGGTCTATGAAAGTTGGCATGATCCAGCTAACTTGTTGCGGCTGCACCCTCTGCAACAAGTTTTTCACGTTTTGGCGGTCCAATTTGGAAAGCCGAGCCTGTGTCCACCGAAAAGTGAAAGTCCAAAGATCTACCAAATCGCTTTAATCCGCCGACCCCATGCCTGGTCCAGAATGGACCATGCTTTCGGCATGGGGGCGGTGTGTTCTGTGTTGCTTTTGTTGATATGCTTTCTATAAGTTTAATGTGAATATGATTATGTAGATATATATATATATATATAACCTATATGTCCCTTGGGGCGGCCCTTGGGGCTGGTTTCTACGTCGGCTGGATTTCTGGATTTCTCAATTTCTGGTTTTCTGGATCTTTGGATTTCTGGAATTCTGGATCTCCCTCCCCCCCCCCCTCCCCCCCCCCCTCCCCCCCCCCCCCCCCCCCCCTCCCCCCCCTCCCCCCCCGCCCTCCCCCCGGCTTCTTCCTTCGTCTTCCGTAGTCTTCCGGCTTCTTCCCGTAGTCTTCCGAAATCTTTCAAGCTTCTTCCCGTAAATTTCCGCAATCTTTCGGCTTCTTCCCGTAGTCTTCCGTAATCTTCCGGCTTCTTCTCCTAGTCTTCCGATACTGTTTCGGGACCAAACAACGCGCGTGTCCTGTGCTTTCGGGCTTCTTCCCTAGGCTTCGGGTAGTCTTCCCCCACCCCTCCGCCCCCCCCTGTGTCTGTCTATGTCTGTCTACGTATCTGCATCTGTCTTCGTGTCCGCGAAGACCCCCCCTGCCCCTGCGTGTCTGTCTGTGTCTCTTTGTGTCTGTCTGGGTCTGTCTGCGTCTGTCTTCGTGTCCGCGAAGACCCCTTGCGTGTCTGTCTCTGTCTCTTTGTGTCTGTCTGTGTCTGTCTGTGTCTGTCTACGTATCTGCGTCTTTCTTCGTGTCCCCCCCCCCCCCGCGTGTCTGTCTGTGTATTTGTGTCTGTCTGGCTCTGTCTGCGTCTGCCTGCGCATCTGCGTCTGTCTTCGTGTCCGCGAAGACCCTCCCCCCCCGCTGCGTGTCTGTCTGCGTGTCTTTGTGTCTGTCTGTGTCTGTCTACATATCGCGTGCTTTCTCTCGTCCCGGGCCGAAATTCTAAGGTGTGTGGGGGCGGCGGAACCAGGCCGCAGGCCATTAAATAAAGCCACCCTCCCACCAATTAGCATGGAACTTGACGTAAAAGGGAACCATTTTTTAATGGGAGTGGGTCCCGAACGTCGAACGGTTCCATGTAAAAGGCTGGGGTTCTGGAAGCAATCTTCCTTTTAAAGGGACCCCCCCCGTTTGGTGGAACATGGTCTTCCAGGGGCCACTCGTCAGGTGCTTTGTCTATGCTTTGCTTTGCAGTCATGAAGGGCAAGGCGAAGTGGACACAGGCAGCGCCTCAAGCACATTGAAGTAGTCCATGCAAATTACTCCCAACCGAGGGGGGGACTCTGCAATCTTTCGGCCAGGTCTGAGGGCGGTGCTAATCATTCAGGCATCCTCAAAGCTGAATACCTTCGTAAGTTTTGAATGGGGATACAGCGGGACCACATGTTTTGCTGAGAGCCCCTCATAAACTCTTCGTTTTAAGGGTTCCATGTTAGTTGGTGTGAGGTTAACTGGTGCGAACTTCGCCTTGGCCGGTGGATCAAACCCCGTGCTTCGCCTTGGCCGGTTGCACCGCCAGTCCAAAGAGCATGCCCAGGGCGGCCCCCAAGCTCAGCAGCGGCGCCCAGCCGCTGGCGAAGCCGTCCGTCTCGGCCTCACTTCCCAGTTGCAACCATTGAAGATGGAAGAGAAACTTTCTGCAAGAACAATAATCCCAAAAGCTGAATTAAGAATCATCCCCAAGCAAAGGACCTGTATCAAGGTGAGCTCGTTATACCCCCAGGTGAGCTCGCCATACAATGGGCAGAGGGTGCCACTGAACAGCTGGGTTGAATTTTGGAACCATGGGACCCCCTTTCGGAAGATTGCCTGAGGAAAGCAAAGCAAAAGGAAATCAAACCAGCCGTTGAGGGTAGCACGCCCTTCAAAGGACGCCCAAAGCTGACACCGACCTGCAAAAACAGACAGGGGCCTACCCAAAACCGATACCCTGGTGGTGTTGCTTTTGTTGGAGTGTCTTGAAGCTGACAAGATTGGACACATCAGAAACCTAAAAAGCTTCATACAAGCAGGTGCCACTTTTTTCGCGACCCTTGTGGCGATGTGAAAATCTGGCGGGAAAAGGGCCTCCGACATTTTTTTCCCGCGCCTCCGGCATCTGGGCACCGAGGGTCGGCGCGCTGAGGCCGCGCGGGGCTCCGGCAGGTGCCTGGGCGAATAACTACCATTCTCGGAACCCTTCCAAAGCTGAAGATCTTTGACTCACTTCCTGAGTGAGGAACGGTCTTAAGTTTACAAAGTTCAGGAACGGAACTCGGGAAGTGAGTTGAAGGCTTGCGGCTTTGAACCAAGCCCAAATTTCTATCCTTGAGCAAGAGCACCGATATTTTTGGGCTCGAGAGAAACCCCGCCTGGGGCGCCAGGAAGCAGCATCCCAGGCCGGCGGTCACCACCGCCACGAGCGCCAGACGGATGGCCATGGTCGCAAATCCGCGGCAGGAGCTTGAGCTAAGGCTGAAAAAACGCGACCACAACGTTGCACACGCGACCTTTTTTTTTTTTTTTTGGGGGGGGGGCGGGGGGTTTTGAGGGGGGTTCAAATGGGAACGCTTTCGAACAAAGATTCGTAAAGCTAAATAAGGCCATCAACGAAGTGGATTGGATCGAACATTTGCTGGGTGCGATCTGTAGGGGATGACAACGAGATTCCGGCTTTTTGGAATGCACCGTTTACGGATTTCCGAATGAAGGACGCCACCCGTTGGATTGTCTGTTTTGTGGTCCTTCCAACTCATTCCCTGCTGAGAACCAGCAAAACAACATGTGACGATTAAGAACAAAAACTCAAATCCGGGAAGCAAGGAAACCACGAATTTCGGTGGTCCAAACCACTCTGTAGACATGCATGGTCGCAATCCCGAGATGCTCTGATGGAACCTTTGCGGCTCCTAGAAAAGCGAGTCCGAAGACTCCGGAGCTTGGAGCATCTGATGACGGAGGGATGGGAAGAACCGCGAATCACCCTTTCTCTTCAAGCACAAAACAATCAAACAGCCAAGTCTCAGTTTACCAGCGCGAATATGACATTCGACAGTCTGATTTTGAATGCACGGCGTGAGCGCATGTCGTCCAAGCAAACCCCAATAAACCCCCAAGCACAAAGTTCTGACCGAAGAAGAATGACACGAGCGGGATCAACATGATGCAAGAGCTTTAGTGCCTTAAATTGTTCAAATCGCAGGGCTTCCCAATCCCAATCCGTGGATTGGGACGCGACAT